ATTCGCTGCGTGGGCAGTGTTCATGTTGTGATTTTTGTCGTACGAAAACACCACTAATCCATCAATTTTCATACGATTCGAAAAAAGTTTTCTAGTCTGCCCGATAGATAAAATTTGGCCCATTTGTACAGTGATTGTCATCGTTGACTTCCCATCAACTGGCCAAAAACCCAATTTTGTTCGGAAATCGAACAATAATCACAAGGTGTATGGGCACATTTAGTGTGACTCCACCCTGTGGAGGAGCAATGGACCCCTTTGGACAGCAGCATTGTAACCCTGCAGAAAGGGTAGTATTAGACGCACTAGCAGATTTAGATGGACTTCACTAACACATTAAATCTGAACTCCAGATAACACTTTTTAAGCCGTTACAGCAACAGTTTTATTTTTCCTTGTGGGATGAAGTTTTTACATAAATGAATAAAAGCTGACCATTGTAAGCCCCCCATCACTGTTAAATGGTTTTTCCCAACCTTCTATCTGCCCCTTTTCCTGGACAGCTTGGTATGTTAAAGGAAGTTGAAAAATATACTTACTGCCCAGTTCACCAGGTAAAAAAAGCCTAAAAAACTGAAACCTAATGCAGACACCACAAATGTATTATTCTCTGCTGCCAATTTTTTTATATAGGCACTTTTGCTAACTAGCACAGCCAGATCCTTGACCTTCACCGCAACCCTACAGCTTTGTCAAAATACTCCCCAGTCTGTTGATTGGACAGTAAGGGAGCTGTAGCAAACCGTTGAGTTCATCTCTCTGTTCACTCTGTTCTTATTCTTCTGACAACTTGTTCCATGTCAGTGTATGTTCCTTGCAGCAGAACCTCATTGGCTCAAAGTGCTGTCACCATCTTGTCCTATCTGAACACTACTGTTTAGGAAATTACAACAGAGTTTTATCAAGACAAATGCAAGTACTTACACTTATTGCATCTAAAATACATGTAATGATCTTTTAAATGTGTACATAACTGCATTCATTGATATGTTTTCTATCTGGAGTTGAGTGTTTAAATTTAAAAAAAGTAAGCAGGGGTACCCAGGCTCCGCTACCACACTCCAAATATTAGGATATCACAAAAAGCAATGCCATCACAGGTTTAAACCCTGGCTTTCACTGTACACACACAAAGCCACTACATCAATTCATTAAAAATCATTGAAAGTTTATTCATACATCTAAAAACCATTTATACATATACACTCCTGCTGTGCAAACATACATAGCCTCCGTAATACACTGTACATTGTATCACAATTACAGTGAAGACCAGAAATTACTACTGTATAGTTATATTAGGCTTCCAGTACTTAAGAACATCATCTTCTTTGATCTGATGATATACATTAGTGATGGTAGTGATGGTGAACGTAGCCTCCTCAAGAGGTATATATAGGAGGTATGGTGAGCCAGCAAAGAGGAGGGCCAGACAATGCAAACACACCAGTGCCAGTCCCCCAGGGGGCCACAGGAGAGGCCAAACCAACAGGCTAAGACTGCAGTATGGGATGACACATATGTCTGTAGTCCAGTATCAATAGCATGTCCCCCCAGGCACAGAACAGGTGCTGGTGATGTTCTAAGGCATGGGAAGGCTAATATGACTATATACTGTAGTCATTTCTGGTCTTCGCTGCAATTGTGATACAATATATATGTATTACGGAGGCTATGTATGCTTGCACAGCAGGTTTTTGTATGTATAAATGGTCTTTAGATGTATAAATAAACTTTCAATTATTTTTATTGAATAGATGTAGTGGCTCTGAGTGTGTATCGTGAAAGCCCAATTTTAGCCTGTGATGGCATTGCTTTCTGTGATATTTGGAGTTGAGATTTAAATGTTTTGGTTGGATTGTAGGGCAGATTTGTAAACCCCAAACTCTCTTTTTTGGAAGCATTAATATATCACTGAAAGTGTCTCTCCTGTCGGTGCAGCTTGGACATTTGACTGGACCAAGTGGTTTTTTGAAACAAAAACAGTTGAGCTGTTGATCTAACTTGTGAGACTCCATGTTTGACTTTTCCTAAGCATTTTAGGGATTGCAAGTTGAATCTGATAGGTTGCTGGGACAACAGCCATATTATTTGGTTTAATACAATTATAATAATTTATCCTCCCTGGAGCACCCCCTAACTCTCATGATCTAAGACTTGATATGTAGAAACGGATTTAGGAATATAAGAGTTTAAAAATTCCCAACACAACAGATTGCTGCATTGTGATAAAATGAGAACAGATAACCTTTACTATGGAATCATATGCATGATTAACAATATATCCTATTAACTACACTCATCATGTTATTATAGCAGAGCCTAATTAAAAGAGCATTAGCAATCGTAGGTGCCATGATGGGTAATTAAGGCTGATATCAGTCGACCATCCACTGTGTAGAAGACATTTATATAGGCCATTTGCTAGACAAGGAAGATTAGCTCTGTACTTCATTCTTGTACAATGAAAGGTAACTTTCCCAGAGAGGAACCTTTTCCACAGTCTACTGCTCCCATCACTGTAACGGATAAGAAAATATTTTGTACTTAAACGTGAATTATGCCCCTCTATCCATTTGTAATGTATGACATTCAGGACATAAACAGACCATTAACTTGGCTCAACTTAGGATTTGTGACATATGAAGGATATTATCGAAAATATACCTGTGTTTAATTTAAAATCACATTGAAGATCTAATTGAATGGCTAGAATAGAAATAGATTTTTAATACAATACGTTTATGGTGATTGGAAACTAGCTGAATTTTTTTTATTATTACATCATAAAACTAATTTGAATATAGATATAAAATCGTACAGCTGCAGAGTCAGCCCTTACTTAAGTCAAATTCAAGCCATACATTTTTTTACATTTTTGATTGAGTGTGGAAGACTTAGAGGGTTATTCACAAAGCTGCCGAAGGCAGCCGAGTGAATAACACGGGCCGTAGTGAAGTGAGCCGAACAACGTTCGGCTATTCGCTACGGCTCAGTATGGCTGATTTCAGCCATACATCAGCTAAAATCAGCTTTACATCGGCTGCCTTCAGATGCACTTCAGTCAGCCGAACATGCTGTGCATGTTCGGCTGAGCCGAAGTGCAGAAGGGCTTTGAGTCAGCCGATCCAACATCTGGATCGGCTGAGCCAAAGCCCCCAGGCAGCTCACTTCTGCCGTTCGCCCCTATTCACATAGGGGGCGAACGGCAGTGAGTGAGTAGCCGAGTGCCGCCGAGTTGTATTCGGCTTGGCTATTCTGCTCGGTACCTCCGTGGTACCGAGCAGAATAGCAAATAGTGAAAAAAGTCGAAAAAAGAAAAATGTAAATAAATATTAAATTGTAAAAAATAAAATAAAGATTAAAAAAACAACAACAATTTGGCGGTCCTAGCAGTGACAACTAGCTCTGCCCAACTGTTTCCTATTGGCTGGCACCTGCTAGAGTCTTCTAGCAGGTCCTGGCCAATGAACAACAACTGGACATCACGGCTGGCTCCGCCCAGTTGTTATTGTTTAATGACAGATAAGCGTCCCCAGGTCATTTGGGGACCCTGATCTGTCATTACAACTGGTGCTGATCTCACGGCTGGCTGCGCCCAGCTGTCATTTGTGTGCCCTTTGGCAGCCGTTCGCCCGCGCCGCTGTCACTTCGGTTGTTGGGTAGGGTGCATTAAACTAGATATATTCCTTTTGCGAGTGAGTGAGTGGGAATGAAGGAAGGGAGGTTGAGGGTAGGGTATGGCGGGAGTTAAGGGGAAGGGGGCAAATAAGTAAGAAAAAGGAAAGAGTGAAAAAAGGTTGGGAAAGAGTTCAGGGTCTGGAGTGGATCTTTCTTCATCAAAACAAATGTAGGGTTCAATTAAGAAGTGAAAAGTGGTAAGTAAGCTTCAAAGCTGGGACACGATAGGTCACAAATTGTCATATTTATACAAAAATATTATGAGTATCATTTAATATAGTACTTTTTGTTTTTCATTTAGAATTGTACCAGTAGGAGAGTAGGAGTTTCCATGATCTCGCTATGGTTTTCTTGCAACCATAAAAAAAGGGTGATCAGAGTTTGCGGATGTCTTGTAATGTTTTGTAGAGGCTTGTGTAGTAAGGCTTCTCATGGGTTTTTGAATAGGTTACATGAGACTACAGTGTTAATTAGAGTATACACTCAAATCAGGAGTCTATATACTGGGGGGTAAGTTGAAATTGTGGAATAGGCTTTACAGGAACTGTTTGTAAGCAACCTTGCAGATTGTATCTTGTAACGACTGTACGTTTTCATGCTTTCTCTTGTATCAACTTAGGGCCATGTCACACTGGCAATCCTGTTGGTGGCAAGAACACACCTGTAGCCGGATTGCTTTGAAGGACACAACAGGAAGTGAAATCACTCATCTGCTTGTATATGTCACTCCCTAGCTGGTTGGAGGAGCATGATCACACATTCTTGTTGACCACTCATTTCTTGTTACATCATTTTTAGTGACTCAGGCAACAGCACATACAAAACTGATACATGCAGTGTAACATGGACCTTAGGGTTAGGGGTTTTGATGATGCAATGTGTGCTTGCTTGTGTTTAGGCAATGCAAACTGGAGCACACGTTTTCCATTCCTCCAGCAAAACTCGAGCTTATAATGATGCTATGAGGCTGATTTACTAAAAGATTTGAGAATCTTCACACAATAAAATTGTTGTGAATATTCACTTCAATTATCCAAGCATGTGAAAAGCAAATTCCTGTTTACTAATTTCATCTGCACATGATTGGATAACTGAAGTGAGCATTTACAAAATGTATTGTGTGAAGATCCTCAATTACTTTTGTAAATCCGCCCAAGTGGGAGTGTGTGCGTCTGTGTGTGTATGTGTGGTTTAGGATGTCTCTTTATCAACCCCATACAGTATATATTTCTTTATATACTGCAGACCAGAAGGTACTTTTACTCTTGCATTACACAATTTGTTTCTAATGACTTCCTTTCTTATATATAAATTCACAGAGGAATCCAAGAGATTGGAACAAGAAAGACTGGCCCTGGAAGCTGCAATTAAAAGCAGTGAATGTCAAGATGGGAATAACAAATTCCGACGATTCTTCAGTAAATCCTCCAAGTTAAATCTCACATCTAACCCTTCTAAAAAAGGTAATATCCATCCCCTACTGCTTTCAGCTGTTTTACCCTTGCTGAAAGGAAAGTCAGCTCTGCATTTGAAAAGTAACATTCCAAAAAAGTTCACAATTATGTCAGGTTTTTTCTATATTTTCCTTCACAGATTTTTGCAAAGTTATTCCATTTTCTGTACAATTTTCAAAATGGTTTCCGCCAAAAGCAAAATATATGACCCAATCTAAATTAAGATTAGGGCCAGAAGAAATAGCTGTGTAATTTATATACATTACAAGTATTTCTACTTATAACTATTTATGTTATGTTCAGTTGTCAAAATAGCTCCCCCTAAATAATAACGTGCTTTTGCTAGAGCAATATTTGCATTTGGCTTGAAGGGAGTTTACACTTATTGCATTGTAAGCCGTTTGGCTACTTGTTATGTATTCACAAGTGAAATGATTGCAGGAAAATATATAAATTAGCAAAGATGTGATAAATTCTTTAAGTATTAGAAAAGCTATTGACTTTTTTTTATTTTTTTTTGCTAATGGCAGCAATACTTTGTGATTCTTAAATTCAGCAGATTATCGCTTTACTCTTGTAGTAAACTTTGATTTGCTGTTAATGTTGATAGGCTTATTATTAATAAAAGAGAGGCTTGGCGGAAGAAGCAAATGGGGAAGCAAGCACTGAGATAAAAGCAAGGTGGGACCATGAGTGAGGGGTAATGGGAACAATACCAGAAAACAAAGTTGGAGAAATTATACAGTTTGGATGTTTTGTTTGGCAATAGCAGACATTAGCAAATTAAGTCTTAGGGGTTTTGTTCACCATGATGACAGAGTTTACTTCCCTTTAACATGTGCTGGGTGCAACAGCTAGGAGTATTGCATGCTCCTAACATAGGGGGCCGTTCTACTGCATGGCCACCGGTGAACAGTGTGAAGGGAGCAGTGCAATGTGCTGATTACAGCACATTGCACTGTTTACTTTTTTTTAGCTTTATTGAAATGTCACACAGTGACATTTCATTTAGTTCTATTACAGTTCTATTTGCAGCGTATTGTGATGTGTTGTAGAGTGGTAAAAAAAAGTACTCCAATGCCATGGTGTGAACTAACTTAATAGGGAATGAGAGAAGAAGCCTGATAGAGTGTGCATTTGGATGGCTTTGGGCACGGCTGCCCAGTGCAGCTCAATGCATCTGATGCGAACAGGCCGTGTGCTACATGGTGAAATTAGAGGGTAATTTGAATCACATTTCATCAAAAGCATAATCAATTATTTCACTGGGAAAAAAAGTTTGATGCAATCGGTTGCTACTTTTGAATTTGCATAACCGTAACAAGTAACAAGTAGTTTATATCCCTCTGATACTGTTGTGAACACTTAGAACGTGAGAAAGCATAACTCTGGGCAAATCAAATCTTAACCCTTGCAGTGGGGCGTCCATATGGACAGGGACGGGAGGAAGAGTCTACTGATCATGGTTGGAATCCAATAGAGGCTCTCATGCAAAAACCTCATTTATGAATAAGTGTGCATTTATTATTTTTTTGTTAAAGGTGAAATTTCCCAACATGTGGCTCACAACTGGTTGCCAGCTACTGACATATTAGATCACAAATGCAGAGACACTACCACTTTACACTATAAAGAAGTGAAAGACAAGTTGTACGCAAGCCACAAGATTACTATTATTCAGCAATAACTCTTATCTTGAATGCACACAGACAGAGGTGGTGAATAAAACCTACAAGGAAACCAGGTTCATCCTTACTTGTTCTGTGGCAGACAGCCAATTTCACATGGAACAAAAGCACCCTTTGAAGGCCTGTGTGTACTATCAGAAAAACAAGCCCAGCACAATGATTCTTCTATAAAAATAATGTACATAATGTACAGTTTTCATGGCAACGAGCCATTTAATCACTTCATCAACTGCTGTTTCAGAACCATGTCACTTACCCTGAAAACAATCACACGTTTTGTTTCTTATGTCATTTTATTCCTGACCAAAACTGATTTTACTACCAGATGCATGCAATCAATTTGTGATCGCTAGTGTTGACAGGGTCATTGATTTAGATACACTGGCACACTTTGGATTAGAGAAGCACTACTGTTATCTTGTCAAACACTATTTATCCTCTGAAAAATAGCAACAATCAGACAAATTCTGATACATATCAGTAAAATGTGACTGACTGATGTTCAGGCAATGCCTTTCCAATCCAAACTCTTTGATATTCTGAAATTGTTTCTATCTTTTGGAATATTATGATTACATTATGTGTGAAGTATTGCGGTAATCCATATCACATTACACTAAATTGTAGTACCTAACTCAATTTGATATACAGTATTTTGGATGTTTATCTTAATTCTATTCCTAGGGAAATTTGCTTAAATGAAAACAATGCATTTAATACTTGCAAATGAGGCTTCATCTAAGATGAGCCAGGTCTTTTGGAATTGGTAAACAACCATTTCATATGGGGATTTCTTTTACTTGCAGTGGAAGCTAATATACTAGATCTTAGAATTCCTCTAGTGCATTATGTAACAAACAATTATTTGTGTGAATATTCATGTAAATTATCCAATTTATAAGTGAAGTGAATGTCCTCACAGTTTATTGTGTGAAGATTCTAACCTATTAAAGAGGAACTAGAACCTACCATCCCTTACGGTTAAGGAAGGTGCCATCTTAGCCTCTATTTGCATTGCAGTTGCCATGGTGCTGCACATGTGATCAGCTATGACATCAACCATTTGAGAGCTTGAAAGTTTGGTTGAGAGCTGAAATAAGCACACTGACAATTTTGACAGTTGGCATGCCTTAAAGGTTACTGTTTTGGGAGACATTACATCGGTGGGTAAATCAGGCTCAATGTCTCTGCTCTCCCCGTTAGATTACACCAAGTAATATCACATCTTAAAGTGTATTTCCACTTTTGCAGTACAATTTGAGAAAACCCTTCTATATGTTTGTTATACTGTATGTTCCCATTCACACAGCATAGTGAAAAATTATTATTTTTTAAATATTTCTTACCTTTTAGATGTTTTGTTGCTGCAGCCAAGATGGCTGATTCCAGTTTTTCTGAGCACCTTCATGGTGATCTGTCCTTATGGAAAGATTTAGGACTGAAATTTGAGGATTGTGCTTCACTCATTAACTTCACTAACATACAATACACAAGCCAAGCTTTTAATCCTTTAACCCTTTGATAGGCCAGGCTGTGTTCAAATCTAATTTACAAAATATAATAAACAACCCCTCACAGCCCCTCCTAAGATTAATATAAGAAGGAGAAGCAAATAGAAATGTTAACCCTTAAAATGCCTAGATGCCTAGAGACCCTAATCGAAGTAAATGCAATTAAACTGCAAGAAGCATTTTTTAAATATTTTTTTAGCTTATGTTATGTGAATGGGGACATATAACAAATATAATATAGGTGTTATTCCAATTTGGCTGCAGAAATGGCAATACACTTGAAGCAGAATAAGTAGAGAGAGTCCCTTTTGCATCATAGGAGATGAGTTTTGGTTTTCCTGATTTAGAGTTCAGAAATATTCAGGTATGAAATGTTGAAGGGAAGGAATGGCCACACATAGGAACAAAAACACATATGTGTTTTTGCATTTAAGCCTACTAGTTTGTTCAAAGCTGTGATTTTTTTCATGAGAGATATTTATGAAAATTGAAGAAAAGAAATGGGAACAAAAAAGTGAATAATTACAACTTGTTTCTTCCCCCCCGAGAATAAAAGCCAAAACCTGATTGATCACTTTGAACAACACCACCACTTTTGTTCCAGTTTTTTTAAATAGCTCCCATGATAACTTTAGAGCGGCGGGCTCAGGGATGAGGTTTGAGCAGCATAATGAACATATATAGATGCCCTAAATATGTGTTACCATTGTACAGCTTAGATGGAAAAGTCATAGGTCTAAATTCTAACCAAAGGACTAAATGAAAATATATCTAAAATGATTGGGTCACTTTTAAGGCCCCATTCACACACGAATCGGCCTGCACGTACAGCTCCGTGCTGCTTGCGGGGCCGTACCAAGTAGCTGCCGGAAAGGACAGGTGCTGCGTGTGATTAGAATGCAGCCCCCGTCCTTCTCTATGTGGCTACGTGGCCGTACGCCCTCCTACGCTCACCTTATTTGCAGGTCCCTAGGGATGCGGGTTTTCTGGCCGGGACGCATACAGGATCCATTCTGGCGGCGTATGAATACGATCACCCGCCCCCCTACGGACCTGCAAATTAGGTGAGCGTAGGGGGGCGTACGGCCGCGTAGCCCCATAGAGAAGGACGGGGGCTGCATTCTAATCACACGCAGCACCTGTCCTTCCCGGCAGCTACTTGGTACGGCCCCGCACGCAGCACGGAGCTGTACGTGCAAGACGATTCGTGTGTGAATGGGGCCTAAGAGTTTGCTATCTAGTCTTATTAAATAGATGAAACTTTATTGGCTGCTCTGAAAAGCTGCTTTATTTTTACTCTGGGCATCTTTGCACCAATTTTCTAAAATCAGCTGATTAACAGCAAAACCATGTGTTAAGTTTTATGTGTCATTGTAAAGGTTTGTGTCAATCGGCTTTTGCTCCAGAACTACTTTTCTGCCCATACAAGTCTACATAAAAGCAGCTTGAAGCAAGTCAAATGCAGGTAAACTAGAGGTCAAATGTACCTGCAATGAATTCTAAAAGCGTCTCAAACTGATGTCAAAAGCACACTGCATTTACCCATCGAAGCCTATTAACCATGAATTATTAACAGAAGGTCATAAGTTCTAGCACTTTAGAATAAACAATGACAATGTTCAAGTGGACCTTTATCCCCTTTCACTAAAAATCACCTCAGCATGCAGCTCTACATGCTGATATGAAATCATCTGACATTCATTAATTAAACAAACATATTTTTCCTTTACTTACAATTATTGCTTTTCCACTTCCTGGTCCTCTTGGGCACTAGTGATGTAATGTGCCAAAGCATTGCATCCTGGGAAGG